CTCTACCTACACATCCAAGCCTGCATGCAAAACAACAGGGGCTGGTCCTGCACCAACTTTTCAGGCTATGACTAACCCAGAACTATCAAATGATTGTGCTTGGGCAATTTAGAAGGAGAAAGAACCCTATAAGAAAGAAGAATAAAAACAGCTATTAGAAGGGAGGGTTCAGTAGCAGTCTCTCAGTGGTAGGGTAATTATGGTGGGTGCTACCACACATACAGTTGTAAACAGCTTAATAGGGAGACTCTCTTAATTCTCTCCTGCCACTTCATTTTACAGATCATGTTACAAAAAGCCAAGCTGTGCAATAAGCACAGTCCTCATAAGCAGTTTAGAGTTGCACTCTCCATCTGCCTCTTCTCATTCTACACTTTTCTAAACATAGGAGCTCTTGGTGGATAGGGATCTGACAGGCAGGCTCACACAGTACACCGTAGCTTTGGGGAGGTAATTTCCCCGCTCAAAACTGAAAAAATACACACAGTTGAAGAGTTTTCAGAAATGCAAACAGTACTTTGGGTGTAAGACATGAGCAGTCAAATCATCTAAGAACTTTTTTCTTGAGAAAATCCAGAACGATAAATGTTTCAAAAAGTACTTCTTGAGAAAAATAACAGCGACTGGGTTTGTCTGTTTTAAATATACCGATGTTAGCTAAACTCCTTTGCAATTAACGTAATTTTAGTTCTGACTACCAGTAACCCTATGACTAGATGTGGGCTAGGACGAAGAGCTGCTAGACCTGCTTACCCCAGGCAGTCTGCCAGCTGCCCTGGCTCAGTTTCGCGTTTCATCCAGATACTGCCCGGGGATGCGACTTCCTGCTCTCAGGAAGCCGTATCTCTCTGCACGCTATATAGAGAGAAACGAATTCACGCTTTTGCTTAGGAAACACCGTGCTGCCGCGCTGCCAGCTCTAGCTCTGCTTGCTGCTTTCCGATCCCCTCTGAGGCAGGGCCAGTCTCCCTGGCAGGCCCAGCGGGACAGGAGGGACCACTGCTGCTCCGTGCTCCCCGGCAGGGCGCTGGCTGTTGACGCTACCCCCTGTGGGGTGGAGGGCTGGAAGGCTCCCAGCCCGGGCTTCACCGCCTCGCTCACATAGGGGCGGGGAGGGAGAACACAGCTAAGCCGTCCAGCCTGTCGGACGAGCCGGGGGCAGGGAAGGCGGTCGCCTATTTCCAAGCTCC